AACTAGGGTAGCTGCGCAGCGTGTTACCCCGCGCAGGACCAGTACGATCTTATATTTTGATAACAACAATTATGACAAATAACTCAAGTTCCAAAAATGACCACAAAAAAAAAGTTAAAAAAACTAAACCAAAAACCGCATATAAACATGTGCATATAAGATTGGGGTGTATCCTATCGGTCAATTTACAAACATAGTGCACATCATATAATAAATTTTAATAATAAAGTTTTTTATAGATCATCGAGTGATAGTAAAAAATATAATAAATTCAAACCGCAATAACAATTGAAGCAGCATGCCCACACGAATAAAACTATACTTATCGGGTTTGTTTTAACATACTCTTTAAAGCAAAAACGCTCTTTTTTTTGGTTTCTTATAAATTATTCAATATTTTTTTATCTTAACAAGTAAAAATCGAAACCATTTGTTGTGTTACACAATATGAACGATTCACAGGCAAATCTAAATGTTACGTTTTTTGATGTTTTTATTAAAAATACATCAAAAACGAGAACTTTGCATAGAAACTGAGAGTCTTCCACTGCACTCTAGACAATAAAATTAACAAAAAAAAAAGCTCTATTGCTTTAAAGAACATGTTAAAACAAACTTGACAAATGTAATTTTATTTATGTGAGATTTCTGGTTGAAGGATTATTGCAGTTTGAATTTTATATGTTTTTTAAAAAAAAATTTATTAGAATTTACTATATGATGTGTACTATGTTACATATTAAATTGATGCGTCAATAATGACGATATTAATTGGTAATTAATTCGTCAAAGTTATGTTATGTTGGTGGCCGTTATTTATTTTTATTAAATCGTGATGTATTATATATATATTTATTTATTTATTTTAAATTGTAGTCATTGTGATGTAATGCTTTGTCGTTTTTTATATTATAAAATGCTGTCTGTTGTAAAAAATTTAAAGTTTTTTTTTAATCTGTAACTTGCACGATGTCATGCTATGTCGATACGATCGTAAAGATTAATCAAGTTCGTCAGTCTGTTAAAGAGGAATCTAATTTAACTCGTGTATGGGCGATTGGCGTTTATCCTGTTGAGAGTGAAGATCGTGAAATTGAGATGGTCTTGTTCGTCCCTATAGATGATCATGATAGGGATCCTAATACGCAATCTGTTTTTGTTAAAAACGAGTATTTTAGTGTTGGTGGGAAGGTTGCTATTGGAAATTACAATGGGAATTTAAGATTAAAGGTTATCAGTATTTTTTTTTTTATTTTTTATTTTTTTTGTGTAATATGTTATTGTTGATAACATTTGGTTTAATTTTTTATTGGTCCAGATGACTGTTGCGTCGTCTACGCATCTTACAATTAGAAGAGATCCTGGTTCAAACAGGTGTCCACTAAAAGTTTCATTGGTTGGTGCTATTCAAGATGCAGCACAAGAAGTTGATGATGAAAATGCGATTATTAAAGTGTCTGTGAAGGATTATGTTGGTCAGAATGATAGCTTTATCGTTAAGGTTGTATTTCCATATCGTAATAATCGGTTTAAACATTTGACGAATTCTATTAGATCGGATGTTTCAGTACTTTTTGTTATAGGGCAGATGGAGGTTATTCAGGGAGATTTATACGTGTATGCTGTTGAGACCTCTTTTGTTAATGCTTATTTCGTGGATAAAAATAAAGGTTCCAGTTCAAATTCACAATCTACTTCGGGATTATACAAGTCAGTTCGATCAAGACTTTTATCTGCTCATCAAAATGTTAGCGGAAAATTTTCCAAAACTTCTATTGAAAATAATAGTAAATGCGCGGAGATAAATCAAACTACAATTGATCCGTCTACTTCTGTTAATCGATCAACTGTTTTTGGTTCTTGTTCATCTAAACGTACTAAGATTGAGGATGAAGATCCCGAACATGTGGGTTCAGATTATATTGAGGATGAATGCTCAGTTAAGGACAATAAGGTGTATGTTGATGAAAGTAATAAATCAGTCGGATGTGTTATTAATGAAAATGTGAAGAAAAATTGTTCAGAGGAAGGTGATGGATCTGGTGGGAATGCTATTAACGTGAGTAGAAAAAGGGGTCGGAGCAAAAAATGAACAATAGTTAATGTTTTTTTTTTATATTATATTTTATGAGAGAGCGTTTTTGAGGTTTTCAAAGTTGTATAAATTTATAAGGTTTAAATTTTTGAATTTGCGCTATTAACGTTTTGTGTATTATCTTGTGAACATTTATTAAAATGTATTGTACTTCAATTTTGCGTATGAAGAGTCTGAGTTAATTTGGTTACAAGCATATGTTTGGTTTATTAGTCATTGTCATTTGGATATAAATTATTGGATTACATTAATAGAGTAGTATTATGCATTTCATTTTTTGTGCAATTTTTAGCATGCTTTATTGTAAATTATAGCATTTTTTATAGTTTTTATTATGTGTAATGCTGATATTCAGTTGTTTTTGAGCATTTCTTTAAGCGTTCAAGTTCCCTTTCTAGATCAGGATCTATTGTCACATTCAATTTAGATTGATTAAACGGTCGTAATATCATGATATCTTTTAACTTTTGTACTCGAGATAACATTACATATACACCTGCTCCTATTTTTCCTCCGTCTAGGTCAACTATTACCTTTTTTAACGTAGTACCTTGACATTTGAATTCCGTAATTGCAAAGGCCGGAGTGATAGGTAATTGTATTCTCTGAAATTCTTGGATTATTTTTGTTCCATCTTTTGTTTTGCATATATATTTGCATTTTCGTTTAATGGGGTAAATTGGTATATGATTCGGTGGAAGTTGTTCATATAAATCCGGTTTGCGATCTAAGAGTTCTACTATTACGTATTTAGGAGGTTTATTTAAGATTACGATTTCTTCATTGTTAATGTTCAAGTCTTCTTTTATTAGCATTTCATTATCATACACAATATTGCGGAGCACACCTTGGGCACCATTTACCATGCCATCATTGGTACAGATATTAACTGTTAGAGCTACTTTCATGCCTATCGATAATGGTAATATACCGCATAAGGGGTTTGATTTTGCATCTGATAAACTCAGGAATCTTTGTCGAATGCTGCCGTCAACTGGTTTGTTTTTGTATTTGTCTTCTGCGCATATATAATAAATTGGTTGATTATGAGTTTTTGCATGTTCAATTGCAGCCTCAAAATTTATCTGAATTCGTAAATCATTTCTTCGAACTAGGTATACAGCATTATCCCATTCTGGGGAATTAATTTCATTTTCTGTTATTATACGATCATATAGTGTTTCACGTTGAATCGGTGTTAGATGGCCATGGCGTAAGTTATTTAATATGGCTGCATATGCCGGGTCATCAACTTGGCGCATTTGTTTCTTCAAGGTTACTACGTGTTTCACTGATGTCCACAGTTCTCTTCCATTAGCACCAATTAATTCGCGTGTATTTATAGGTTCTGTAGTACGTTTTTGATTTTCTTTGTGTATTGTTTTGTTAATATTATTTTGTCTGTATAAAGGATAATCAAGTACTGGTGGTAGCTGAAGAAAGTCTCCAACAAAAATTATGTTTAAACCGGCAAAGGGTATGGTATCATCCTGGAAGCATTTCGCTTCTTTAACACATGCATGTAATCGTGTTAATAGTTTTTGTCCCACCATAGAAACTTCGTCTAGGATAAGGTATTCAATGTTTAACCAACGTTCTTGAAGAGCTTTTTTTGATATTTTTTGTGAAAAATTATATTTATATCCATCATCGTCTTCAAAACCAAATCCACATAAAGAATGGAGAGTGTAACCACCAATATTTGATGCAGCAACGCCAGTTGGTGCGCAAAGTACAAGGGTTTGATCTTTGCCAATTTGTTCAAAATACTGTTTAATTGCTTTAATGACTTCTGACTTGCCTGTACCTCCAGCGCCACCCAAATACACTAATAGTTGTGGTGGTTTGTTGGGGTTGTCAGGATAGTTTTGTTCACGATGATTACAAACCAAAAAAAAGATATTTTTTTGTTCATCGTTAAGGTTAATCGAAATTTCTTGCATAATAGTTTGATTTTTTTGGTTTGATTTGTAAAAAGAAGGACCTGAAATATAGGTTTCTTCAGTACTTGTAGTATTATTTATTTGTTCTATTTTTTTTCTTGATGCTACAGTTTCTTGCCATATTTTGATTAAGTATTCATCATTTTCGCATGAAGATCGTACTTGGTTATTCTGATCATATTCTGTGGTTTTGATTTTTTCTTGAAGGTTTGAGTGTTTGTTATTTTTGGTTTTAAATTTATTTCTTAAGTACAAATGCAGCATAGCACTGTCAACAAATTCTGCATTATTTAATCCTGAACGCATAATTTTATACGGGTCTAATGTGAATGTGCTGTCAAAGTTATCTTGATTATCTAATATTTCCATGTCATCAATATTATCATAACCTACTATAGATCTTTCTATTCGTCGAATTTTCGCGGCTTCTGGGTTTTTTCTCGCTACTTCACGTAGTTGATGGTCTAAAATCGTTTCGTCTGCACATCGGTGTAAGAGCTCAATATTATCGATTATGAATCGTATTCGTGGCGTTAAATTTGGATTTTTTAAAAAAGCTTCGCATGCTTCGTGCCATGAGTCATATTCGTTTATTAAATCATTTATAGTTACCCATGGTTTGAATAATAAAAGGATGCAGAGCCCATAGCGTTCTGCATTTTTTAAATCGTCCTTACGTGGTATACCTTTTCCGCATATTATAGGTATTCTTTCATTTTCATGGCACCAATGAGCTTGCATGTGTGTAGAGTGTTGTGGATGTATTGTATCATGATCACAAGTTTCATTGCATTCTTTTTCTCCACCTAAAAACAGAAATCGGTCTACTCTTGTTGCATATCCTTCACGATTTTTTTGTCTTTTTAGTTTGTCCAGTTCTTTACTGTTGATTTTTATTTTATGAATTGTTGCGGCATAATCGTAAAGACACATATTTCTTAATTGTTCACTACGGTACATATAATCAATGCGTAAATTTACTGCATTTACTCGATTTCCTAAATTTATCATAGTAAATATCTCGTCATCAGCAAATTTGGAACTGTCTTCATTTTGTTCTGGTTCATTATCGTCGCTGTCAGTATCAGAACTTTCTGAATATGTCAAGTTAAATAAGTTTTTATTTAGATATTGTGAGAACAGATACGTTTCAAAAGAGTTAAGATATATTGTAACAAATTTATTTGGTGTATAATGATCTTTAAAATCTAAAAGGTACATTGATACTTGAGGTCCGGTTACTTCTGTCTGTCCCACAATCTTGTTGAGGCACATCGTAACAAGTTTTCGTGATTTAGATATATATTCTTTTGATTGTTTATCCAAATGCGATGTGCTTGTAATATACTTATTCAAAGTCATAGCACACATTAGAAATGAATTGTGTGCATTTACATCAGATTTCGTTATATAATCTGTGATATAATGAATATATGCTAGTGCTAACTTAACAGCTGTAATGAATCTTATATCATTATTCCCACGGCAACTAGCAGTTATGTAGGGATTATGATTATTTATATAAGCATTGCGGCGTTGAAGGGCAATAACCCCAAGTTCTGGGTAAATTTTTCCGGGTGCTTCCACTAGCTCACGGGGAAAGTCAAACCTACAATTTGATGTTCGACCGCGGTAATATTTCTTACATGATTTGCTACATTTATGGAATAATGTGCGTTTTGCTATCCTAAGAATATCAAGACGAAGCTTCTCGTTAAAGTCTGAAGACCGTGAATCTGGAATAGGTAAAATTGATGGGTGTATCCTTTTTTCTAACATAGTTTTTGGTTTTTTGTACTCATCGTCTAACATTTCATCAGTTATATAATTACCATCTGTACAGAGATAGCTGATATCCTCTTTAATTATTTCATTTACATAATTCATCAGTCGTTCTCTGAAATTTTCAAGCTTAAGATGTTCTCGTATTTCAATGGGATTAAGGGCACCTTGTAGCCATATTAACATATGGCAATGAGGTGCGCCACGATCCTGATATTCTATTACGCCATAATAATTTTTTATATTACCTAATACTCCACCTTCTGGTTTCCCATATCCAAGAATGAATTTAATTATATTTTCTATTAAGTTATTGAAGTATTTCGCTACTGCAGTTGGATCAAGGTGTGCCAACCTGGCTCTTTCTGTTGCAGTTGGAAATTCTTCTGGAAGTAAATTATTAACGTCTATTTCTTCTCCCGCATACATCATCACTATTGAACTGTGAAGATCCGCAGGATTGATGGTCACAAACAGCGAGGGCGAACCATCCCGTACAATGATAGCACGAATTTCATTACGAAGATATTTTCGTGATTGGTGTGAACCCATAATTCTTCCACCGACAATATTTACATTTTTTAACAATTCGAACACTGCTCTATTTGTTATTGGTTGTTTATTTTGTTTTTGTTCAATCGCTATTTTTATATCGTTTGGTGTAAGTTTCGAAATTATTTCAGCCGATTGCTTGAAATTTTCTTGCTTTGTTGTTAAGTATGTTCCTGATGCAATATTTCTCCTTCGTAACATATCGAATGCAGCGAAAATAAACGAACGATGTTGTCTAAATTTGGGATTATTAAGCCGCAATAAATGTTTGACATATTGCTTGAACGGTATGTGTTGTTTGCGGTAATTATCTTCATGACCACCGATTCCATAAGAAAACAAAGTAGGAAATGCGGCAGGTAAAAGAGTCGGGTCCGTGTATTCGTTTTTAGGTGTATTCGAATGTGGCATTAGAATTGCATTCGAATTGTAGTCAGTCGTCTCCTGAATCATTTTCCCAAGCAATTCTAATGAACGTTCTTGTTCTGAAATAAAAATATTATTGTCATATGTCATACCCGAATTTCTCAATTCAGTTGAATCATTTATAGAATTATGCGTTTCAAATATAGTTTTTTCATATTTTTGTTCTATATCGTTTTTATGATCTATACTATTACTCATATTGTCTTCATCAATTGGATCTACCGTATATCCTGTATAGTGTTCCACTATTTCGGGATTAATATCAACCATAACAGTCGTAGCCAATAAAGCAGGCGGTATCCCATTTTCTGGCAGTGTTTCTAGTGTTGTTTTATTGATATTAATTTTTCTATATAAATTGTTGTGGTTTACTAACCATTCCAGAGCTGTAGCAATTTTATTTCTTCTTACACCTAACACTTTTTTCAGTTGTTCTTCCGTTGGTTGTCCTTCTCCAACAAATACAACTTTTAGGTGATCACACAGTCGGTACGCAGGTAAAGGCAAGATTGTAGAAAGCGTGGTTGGTTCTTGCGTAAATGTGATCACATGACCCTTTAATTTGTGGTGTGTATGCTTCCGATCATTGAGCTGAATAAGATTTATACACATATACCCCGAAGATATCAAGAGTTGTTCTGGTATCGTCATTCCTTGAAGACATTCTGGTGTTGTTCCTACCCACATATTCGCCAGAGAAAGTATTGGTGTTTTACCTGCATTTAATGATCGTTTACAATCATAGCATATTCGAAGATTGAATGGATTTTCACTATTACTTGTGTTACTTTTGACAAAACCATCTCTATCTAACAGAATCTTATAACCACTGTTATCTATATATGGATGTCCATATGTAAAATCAATTCCCATAAAAGACTCTTCAAAATATTTGTCAGTTTCAAGTAATGGTAAGTATACCTCTCGTGTATCAATAGTAGTTAAATGTTCATACGAAAATAATCCGGAACAAATTGCACAAGGAAGTTCCCTAAGTGCATCACAGCTTGTATTTTCACGGAATTCAGCTAATGCATTATTTGCATTGGTTTTATCGATTGGATACGGCCAGTTTGCATACTTTTCTTTCGACAAGGCAAACTCATTATCCATTTCCAAAACACGTAATGGAACACATGCCTCAGCTGCTTGGATGTCTTTTTCTATACATATTTTTCGTCTTTTAGCACGCTGAGTTTCACTTCGTTTGCGCTGCTGTTCTCGTTCATGATGTCGATAATCTGCACGTGCTCTTTGCATGGCTTTTTGTTGTTTACGTTTCAACTTATAGCTATCAAAATTTGTAGATTCACTCCTAAAAAACAGAAATCAGTATATTATCATAAGAATTTTGAAATTTCAGAATTTTAAAAGTTACATTTACATAATTAAAGTCTTTCTAGAAAGTCACAGCGTTGAATTAAAAAAGATGGTAATGACAGCGATTAATTGTACAATTTATATTTAGATTAACGATTACTCGTAAATATTTCTATAAATTCATTGTAAGAAAAAATTGTGCCCTTAATTATTTTTTAAGAAGGTCCGTTTCACACACGCATGAGCAATTTATTCAACTAAAAAAAAAATATAATTACAGCGTTTATGTTTAATGATATCATAACGTACCCGATATTATAAAAAGTTCTGATTCAATAATGCACATAAATTCGAATCTCAATAAACAAGTATATAGTCATAGCACGTTCACATTATATTGATCAAAGTGATCACACATAATCAAAATTTACGGCATAATATCGACCAATCATAATCATAGCGATCACACATAACGATAATGCTCAAAAATTTACGACATTTTATTGTTCAAATATAATCATAACGATAATGATTACATACAATGCTCATATTATTACGTCATTACATCGATCAAATTTAATCATAGTGACGGTTATTTAACGTCATTACATGCGACGATTATTTATGGATATAATCGTCATAATGCGATGAATTCTCATACAATACCTAATACACATGTCTTGTACATACAAGTGATAGTTGTTATTACGTTTGTAAAAAATTTCGGTCATATTATGCATACATATTACATCCAACTGTTAACGAAATACTTTCATAATACCGATACATCTGTATATCACACGTAACTCATGATTTACATGGATGAAGAATGTTAACTACGCACCATATCCTTGACCAAAAAAGCCCGTAACCTTTCTTTAAACGGATAAACGAAAATCATAAACATTTCCAAAAAAGGTTTCTGCAAAAATCAGCATAAGCGACATAGAAAAAGTCGATTTCAACCATCCCTCCCACATTTCATGTTACACAAGAAACGTGATCGTACTGGTATA